TTTTGGCGGGTGAGGCGGGACGGCGCGGGTGTTTCGATCGACCCAGTGACCTACCGCAGTCCCATATTCTCTGACGTTTTGAAGTCGAGCCCCGCATCTGCGCTGGCGCTAGACGTGCTTCACACAGTTCATTTAGGCGTGACGCAACGACTGGGATCAGTATCATTGTGGAGGATCATACTTGCAAGCGTGTATTTCAAGCGTTCAGTACAGCAGAGAGTAAAGTGCGTCGAGGCAGATGTGCATGCATGGTTCCAGGAACACAACATCCCACATGAACAGAGGATGGGGAGGCTCACGCCAGGCATGATCGGCGCGAGGTGCAAAGTAAAGCGGGCAAGAGGGGCCCCCTTCCCAGGATGCCCGATGAAAATTAAAGGAGCAGGGATGTCGATGTTGATCGTTTTTTTTGCAAGGACCTGCTGGAGAGATATGTTGATCGTGTGCCGCGCGGGGGGTCGCTCATGATGTCTGTTGGCGCTTTGCTGGAATGGACCCGTGTGGCGAAATATACGGATGCGCAGCCTAGCCATGCCGACTACGCATCTGCATTGGAGGCCGCATCGCGGGTTATGTACCACGCGCAGGTTCCGCTTGTGAGACTGACCCCCAAGTGACACTTATTCTGCCACTTGGCCCACAGGACCCAGCCATCTCGCGTTTTCGGGGGCGGGGGCGTCGTCGTCACAAACGCCAATTTGCAAAGCGCCCAAACATCTGAATTATTTATGGGCCCCTCCTAACCCTCCACCTCGTCTCTGGGCGTCTGTCTTGGGTGCGTCCCCCGTCTCGGAGTGAGCGTGGTAGCGATGCGTGTACTTGTATACATATACACATAACATCGAGTGAGAGAGAGAGAGAGAGAGAGAGAGAGAGAGAGAGAGAAACCGGGAAACAAGCAATATCTATAGAGCTGTATAATGTATATACTCAGAGAGTGAGGGAAACAATTTCGCACATTAAAAGATAACGCACCGAACGAACAAAGAGATAGCGACGATCGGTTGCCCACGCCACCCCCCGATCCATTCGTCTAGCCAAGCGCCCGCCTGGACTACCTGGGGGATTTGCGGGGTTGCGCGCAGGCGGGGTAGCGGGCGGGCGCAGCCTTGGCCATTCTAAATATATTTACGCGTCCCCCATCAAGAAGCATGGCCGAGGTTCTGGGTTTGGGCCACGGCGTACCAGACTGGCTAGCAGCTAGAGTGAGACAGGGATGGCCGGACGCAAACGATCACGTACTTGCATACGACAACTCTGATATCTTGATGGAAGCAGCATCGGGTGAGGTTGCCCGATGGATCACAGGGGATATGCCAGTTACCTTGGTTCGCTACCAAGATTGTTTCGAATTATTATGCGGCGCTGGTGGGGTCACCAACAAATTGATCACCAAAGGCTTGAAAGCTCGCGGTTTCGACAGGCCGCGAAGGGTTCAAAATGCAGCACATTCATCAGTTCGCACACCCCCGAAGTCGGTTCGTTTTTGCAACGTCACCGCACCGTATCTCGAATCATACAGAGTGGCACGGTCGCGACTTGGGCGCCACATGTTTACGTGCCTCAAATCCGCGCCAGCCCACGCAGAAGCCCTGCCCACGAGAACTGACGGGAAATGGAACGCAGAACGCTTATGGTAAGACATACCAGTCAAAGAGAGGAGGGGAGGAAGGCGCCGGGCCATTTTGGAGGCAATCTTTGAGCATCATATGCCTTATTGGAGCTGTTTGGCAGCGTATTGGGGTCCTCTTGGAGCTCTTTCGGGGCGCAGTGGAGCCCACGCGGAGCCTGCTGGGGACTCTATTGGAGCTCTCGCGGGGCCCTCTTGGAAGCTATCGAGCGCCTCCTGCAGCCATGGGGGCCATCGATCAAAGGAGGGGGGGTCGTAGATGTTCGTCGCCCCTCCTGGGCCATCGAAATAGCATCTTGGGGCGCTCTTGGGGCCATCTTGGGGCGATCTTGGGCGCTCGTGGCGTTGTTTCGGGCAGCGCCTCGTGCCCTTCTCGGGGCTCTCTGGGGCCCTCGCGGGGCCATCTTGATGCCTCAAACAGTGCGTCGGACGCGAAACTGCGACAACGCCAACCCATGTGATTGCGTTGAAAGACGCTGGCTTCTCGAGGGGGGAGGGGGGGGGGGGCTGAGAGGTCACTGGGAACAGTTGCATCCGTATAGCTGCTTTCTTGGGGTCTCTTTTGCTAGCTATTTTGGGAATTGAGCGATTTGGGATGCCATCTTGGGCTCTCTGATGCCCTCTTGGGGCCATCTCGGGCCATCTTGGACGAGCTGGCCGCTCGCGCCCACCCCCGTCCAGGTCCAGGGGAGGGGTGGGGTGATGGGGTATATCTATCCGAAAATGAAGATTTGGTCTTGCGGAAAGGGACGCGACTACACCGTCAGACCGCATGGCGCCATGGGGCTGGCGCGATTTGGACGCAATTTGGACGCAATTTGGACGCGTCCAAATTGCGTCCAAATCACGCCAGGCATCGTGTCGGTTGCGCCCAAGTTGCGCCCCCGTCGCGCCCAAGTGGCGTCCAAACCACGACCAAGTCGGTGGGCGCGACTTGGACGCGTCCAGGTCGCGTCCAAGTCGCGTCCAACTGAGAAGTGCTGCGCGATTGCATGGGGCCCCTCACATGTGCGATGTGCGTGCTGCAGATCAAGCCTGGTGGTACGCTCATGCTCGAGCCCGAGTGCAGCACGTGGGTGGGCGCTGCGATGGGCTACACGATGAGGGGCAGAGGCGCTAATATTCTCGGCGACGAGAGCCGGAGGGACGTTCTCGAAGCGAATTTCGTGGCAGAGATAATGTCACAGCCTCAATGCCCGACCGACAATCCTGGCTGCAGGGGTCGGGTGGAAGATCGCGTGAGCGATTGTTGACGGAATTAGTTATGTCAGACAGTGCGACCTCACGCAGTGGTTTGACCACGCAGGACAGCTATTGCTCGATCGGCCGCCTAATGATAGGCTCTCGGGGGGGGCCCCCCCCCCCCCCCCACACACACACGCGCACACACGCACACACACACGCACCACACGCACACACGCACTCTCCGCGCCATTCTGCAATGCCAACCCCGCCCCTGCAATATCACCCCCCCTGCCTCCGCCGCCAGCGTGCGTCTCCCCTTCGCCGCCGCTCCCTTTCACCCGTTCGCTCCAAACGCCACCTGTCCACATCTCCCGCCCAACATCGGCGGAACTGTCATCGACGATCGCCCGCTCCACGCCAACCCGCCCTCCGATTGCCACCCAGGTCGTGGTTGATGATTTTGGCTGACGCTCGCGGCGTGAAGGTTATATAGGGGAACCCATCGTGTTCCATCTTGTGGCGCGTTAGCTCCATCAAGGCCAATCGCCCGCGCTGCCGCTTCCCTCTCTCTCTCTCTCTCTCTCTCTCTCTCTCTCTCTCTCTCTCTCTCTCTCTATATATATATATATAGATCTCTCTCTCTCTCTCTCTTTCTCTCTCTCCCTCTCTCTCTCTCTCTCTCTCTCTCTCTCTCTCCCTCCCTCTCCCTATATCGGTATCCCTCTCTCTCGTTCCCTCGTCCGATCACCCGCCTTGTTTCGGTGTCCGTATCCCGCCTTTGTTCGCTCGTTTTCTCCGTCGCTCGCCGTCTCTCTCCTTATCCCGTTCCCCCGCATTCCCAAAAGAACGCTACTGTGCGCCCCCTGTTGCGTTTACAGAATCCCCCCCCCCCCTCCGCGGCTGGCACCGCTCCACCGTCACTTGGGGCGCTGAGCGGCGGAGCGGCAAGGGGGGGTGCGACGAGCAGGAAATACAAAACATTGAGAGAACACTGACAGCTGGGGGCTTACCACATCATCCTCATTACCCGCCCTCATCGCCAACCGACATCGAAATCGATTCCCCAGCCTACTCGCCCCCCGCCACCGACTACATATACGAAACCAGGTAGACCCAGGCTAGTATTATACAGCCGTTCTCACCGATTTCCCGCCGCAAGTTGTTCGGCTCTAGTGACCCCCGCCCGCGCCGACGCCTGCGCCGCCACCGCCAGCGCCGAGACGAGCGATGGCAGAGCCAGTGGTCACCCTCGGCGGCGCGAACAAAGTGATGAGGTGGCGTTGGATGGCGGATTGGCGCTGCTTCGTGCCAGTCTGGTTCCCAGTGGCGGGAGAGGGCAAGTGCCCGCTCAACCCGCTCCCAAAGCAGATCAAGCAGGAGTTGGTCGAGTCGTTCTCCCACCTGCGCAGCGCCTTCACCGACGACGAGGCCCAAACAGCCATCAAGCTGTTCGCGACCAAGCGCGGTGAGCGGCAGTGGCTCTACAACGAGGACCCAGACATCGGCGATGAGTTCCCTGATAACGGCTGGGTCGTCAACAAGAAGACGGCGATCGCCGTCGTCGTGGACTGGCCGACGGGCCCGCTCACGTGCGATCAGAAAGGCGGCGACGGCGACAAGCAGGGCCACGACCCCGCCACCGACAGCAACACGCAGAAGGGCAACGGCTCCGCCAACGATTGGTACGACGATCAGTATGGCTACAAGAAGCAATACGACGACTACAAGAAGCAGTACGACAGCGAGTACAAGGAGCGCTTGGACGACCTTGAGAGCGCGGGGAAGACGAGCGCAGGAGGGCTTCACCCAGGGTTACGGCTCGTTGTCACCAAGAAGGCGTTCAAGACGATTTCATCGAAGATGATCGAGGATGCAGTGGAGAAGGCGTACAAGGCGGGTTTCAGGTCGGCCATCAAGATTGCCCAGGACCAGCAGCTGAACGAGAGCTCACGTGAGTCTGGCAACTCGAGCACCTCGTGGCTCCACGCGAGCGCCAGCTGAGCCCGCGCGAAGGCGCCCGCGTCAGAGTGGCAGTATAGCGAGTGCACTCCTCGGACCAGCCTGGTCCTTTCGGCCATCTTGGCCGCGCACGCGCAGAGTTAAGAGATCAGTCGGCCTGCCTGGCCTCGAAAAAACACACGTGGGCATGGTCTTGGCGTTAGATCGCAAGTCCCGGCGTGGCATCGCGGCTGCTGGGCGCACGTCGCCAAGTTTTGCTTTCGGCGTTAGGTCGCAAGTCCCAGCGTGCCATCGCGGCTGCTGGGCGCACGTCGCCAAGTTTTGCTCCAGCGAAGAGGAGGATCGATCGGAAAGGGGCGGGCGACGCGTGCTACCTGTTGAGGGTGGGCACGGGGGGTGCAGGATATTCCAATCGTTGCAGCGCTGGTTCGGGCCCACCGCATTCTCGTGAATGGGGCGGGGCACTGGGTGGCGACCTTTCCCTGAGCACTGCCAAATGCACGTTTCTCTGCTGCTCGACAATGCCCCCCCTGTCCTGTCTGCGAGCCATCTACCCGTTCACCTCCTCGCCCCCGCCCGCCCCATCCCCATGGAGTTCTAGACGCTTCGCGCATCCCCGCCAGCCCATCCAGAATCGACGCCCAGGCGAGTTGAGGGGCGATCAAGGATTCACGGGGGCAAAGAGGGGGGCGGCCGACCCGCGCGATGGAGAGAGTGGGGCGAATGGGGAAGTTGGATGGATGGATGAGGGAGTAGGGAGAAGGAGGACGAATGAGATGAGGAGGAGGAGGGGACGGAGAGGGAGGAGGAGGATGAGATGAGACAGGAGGAGGAGGATGAGATGAGACAGGAGGGGGAAGGAGGGGGAGGAGGAGAGCGAGCAAAAGAGGCAGATGTCTCCTGGATGCTCTTCGGGGCCTCCTGGTGTATCTGTTGAGCGTCTTGGGGCGCATTGGGGGTCTCTGGGCGGTCGTGGGGGGGCTCTTCGGCGCCTCGGGTGTCTCGGGTGGGCCTCTTGGGGCCGCTTGGGATCCTTTTGGGACCCCCCTGGGGGCCCCTGGGGCCGTCTTGGGGCCACCTCGGAACCTCTCAATGGGCACCTCCTGGTCGCTGCTTGGGGCCACCTTGGAGGAGATCTATTAAACGAGAGGGGTGCAGTAATTAGCGCACCCCCTCCCCCCTCCCCAGGAGGTCACTTTGGGGCCGAATCCCAAGGGACCAAACAGGATGGACGCAACACTGGAGCCATAATGGTGCCAGCACCCTCGTAAAAGCGCCCAGGCCAAGGAGGGGGCGTAGGGGGGGGGGTAAACCACTCCCCGATGAGGAGAATGAGGGGTGGAAAAGGAAACGCCCTAAACCACCTACGCCCAGAGGGCTGGTGAGATTTCGCCTTCGGCCGCGCCTGGCCGAGAGCTTGCCGCGGGCGCCGTGGCTGCGCCAACTGGGCCCGACATTCAGCGTGATACCGATGGGGGGCGCATGTGCATGTGTCCCCCATCGGTATCATGGCTGGGAGATGCCGCAATGTTTCGCGTCGCCCCCTTTTCACGCATCGGCGCCCCGCCCGCCCCAGATGCCCCCTTGACGTCGTGCTCTGTCATTCTGGCAATGTCGGCTCCCCATCTCTATTGTTCTCTCTCACTCTATCTCTCTCCCTATTGCTCTCTCATCTCTCCCCCTGCCCCTCTCCGCCCGTTCCTTCTGCGCAGCGCCTCGGCCCGATCTCCCATCTTGCCCGCCCCCGTCGACGCCGCCCGTTCGCAGCCGCTCCTGGCAGGCCAGCCTGAACATGATTAACGCTGGCAAACTGACAACGTACCTCGCAGTATTCGGCTGGGCAAGTTTAAAGCCGCTGGCTATGTTTACCACTCACTCTCTCTCTGCTGCACGTATGCACATAGGTGCTACCAAGAGGGACGCAGCGCGTTCTCTGTCTGCTTCGGGCTCCCACGCCCCTCTAACGACGTTAGGCCCACGTGTTTCAAACCGTTCTCGGGCCGGCGCAGATGGAAAGGCTGCCATCACAGGATGGAAGACCAGAGCTTGGGTCAATAAGACCAAAGATCAGGCCGCATCCAAAGAATACCCACCGGCGTTTTGCGAAGCTGTCGCAGAGTTCATAGCGCAGACGCGCTAGACACACCGTGCACGCGGCGCTGTATATATTTACATTTATATGTATATGTGTATACATGTGTGTATATATATATATATATCATATAACTGCAACTGACAGCACGCCAACGCACGTTGCACGCACGCACACGATGCATTTCATAATTAGCCAGCCTGCCGACGTTGCCAGCGCCCGAGCCAGCGAGCAGATTTGCCCATGGCTGCCACAGCCGCCTGGAAATATGAGTGCAGCGTGGACGGGATGGTGGGATGGAGGAATGGAGCTAAGATGATGGGTGCGAGGTCCGTGATAATCGCACTGTGATGATCGAATGCGCCCACGGCGAATCACCGCCGCCCCCTGCCTTTAGAATGTGCCGCGCTATTGGGCCATGTGTTTTCCCAGCCTTTGTGGAAGCCCTTCGGAGAACACGTATATCAGCATTCGCGTGAATGCCGGTGCATATGAAATCCTCATCCACCTCGCGTGCAACGCGCCTTCTTCTCGCAATCGCATCGCTGCCCCGCTGCCCCCCCTTCCTCCAACCCTCCTACCAGTCGATCTCGTTGGCCCGAGATTCGGCGAAGCGCCGCCGATCCGATCGATGCTCGAGCTCATAATTCTATTGCTATCAAGTGGCATCTTTCGGTCCTTACCGATTGTTGCACGCGAGGCCGTTCCACGCTCAATGCGAGGATTTTGTTTTCTTTTTTTTTTGTAAAAAAAAAAATCTGCAGGGGCCAAATGGGGCCAACATGTGGCCCCAACTGGCTCAAACTAGCGGCCAGGAAGGCTTGCTCTGTAGATTGCTGCGCGCGTCGGGCAGCTATCTCCTTGGCCGCCAGCCCGAGAAATCGTGGGTCGCCCGCTGGCCCCTGGAGAATTCTCGAGATCCTCGCAAAGAGCGTCGAACGTCGTCGCGCGCAGTATCTCGATAGTTACAAAACATGGAAACGATCGAATATGGCAAAACCATCATAAACCAGCATGATATACTGAAACAACATAAGAGCAAACATCACGTTCTTAAATTAAGATCCTGGCGGCCCCTGGGCCGGGCACCCGGGCACCGGGGCACCCGGGCACCCGGGCACCCATCCCAGCACCGGGGCATCCGGGCATCCCCCGGGCACCCGGGAAGGAGGAGGGAGGAGGAGGAGGAAAAAGAGGAGGAGTGAACGTCGGGCAGGCGTCCCGCGCAATCCGAACCGAGGGTAGAGCCAGAAGGAGTAGGAGGTGGAGGGGACCGGGAGGACCGTTTCGGCCGTTCGAAAAAGCACCTCATCCATGTCTTCCTTCTCCTCCTCCTCCTGCTCGTTCTCTTCCCCCTCCCCCCCATAATCAGACTATTCCTCCGCTGGCTCGGCCCGGCCGGGCCCGGCCTGGTTCGGCCAGCGGAGGAGGAGGAGGAGGAGGAGGAGGGAGGAGGAGTGGGAGGATGAAGACAGGACAGGGGGGGAGTAGGAGACGAGGAGGCGGAGAGGAGGAGGAGGAGGAGGAGGAGGACGGAGGAGGAGGAGGAGGAGGAGGGGGAGAAAGTGAGGAGGCGGGGAGGGACATGGGCAAGGGGAGGCGGATGAGGACTAATTACGTGGAGGAGCAGGCGTTCGCAACCGGCGCAGCATCCAGGCAGAAGAGGAGGAGGAGGAGGAGGAGGAGGAGGAGGAAGAGGAGGAGGAGGAGGAGGAGGAGGAGCAAAAGGAGGAAGAGCAGGAGGAGGAGGAGGTTGAGGAGGAGGAGGAGGAAGAGGAGGAAGCGCAGGAGGAGGCCCGGTTCGCCTGAGACATCCTCAAAGCTTTGGGTTCCGTGACGTCCTGACCTGAGTTGGTCAGACCACTTTCGCCTGAGACATCCTCGAAACTCTGACCTCGGAGGTGCCCTGCTCCACGGTGGTCCGGGCACTTTCGCTTGAGACATGCTCGCATTTCTGGGTTCCGAGACGCCCTTAGGTGAGGTGTTCACGCCGATCTCGCCTGAGACATCCTGCGATCTCTGACCTCGGAGGTGCCCTGCCCCATGGTGGTCCGGGCACGTTCGCCTGAGACATCCTCGCAACTCTGAGTTCCGAGATGCACTGAGCTCTGACCTCGGAGATACATCGCCCCAAGGTGGTCTGACCACTTCCGCCTGAGACCCTCGCCACTCTGAGTTGCGAGATGCCCTGAGCAGGTGGTCTGGCCACTACCGCCTGAGACATCCTCACAAGTCTGACCTCTTGGGGCCTCCAGGGTGGCCTCTTGGGCACTCTTGGCCAGGGCTCAGAAACAAAACCAGGCCAGGGCCCAGAAACAAAATCCGAAACGCCCCAGAAACAAAACTTGAAACACAACTTTAAACAAAACCCTTGAAACAATTGTCCGGCTGTGGAGCCGCCTGTCGGGACACACCGCCCTATGCATGTGTGATGTTAGCCCATGCGCGGCCCGTATGATTCACACATAGGTATCATATTCAGCTAGGGGGCATGGTTGTATATTTGTATATCTGAGACCACAGCACACGTTTATCTATGAATATGTGTGACCTCATATCATACGTACATATATCTACATGCATGGTACAGCATCTTACGTACGTGCATGCACATGCAGTGTGTCAATGCTTACGTATGTGTATGCATATGCTTGGTATCACAACTACGTATGTGTACACATATGCATGGTATAACATCTCACGTATGTGTATGTATACGCATGGTAAAACATCATACGTATTTATACATAACGGCGCACCGGGTCTGGGCGCCCGGGGTCGGCGCCGCTACCACAAATGTGGGCTCCGGGGCCCTCGGGGAGCCTCGGGGCCTCACAGAAGACCGCCAGAAGGCACCAAGGAGGCCCCAAGAGGCTCCAGAACAGACCCGGGACGCCCGAAGGTCGCTCCTAGACGCCCAACATGGCCCCCAAGGCGGCTTCAGAAGCCCCCAAGACACCCCAAGCGACCCCCAATAGGGCCCCAAAGAGAGCCCCAAGGGGCCAAAATAGCCCCATTCCCCATGTAAAACGTATATTCTTAACATATTGCTTGTGTTCGCTGTCGGTCCGGCCGAGGACCCGCCCCAGAGGGCCCCAATACAGTCCCAGAGCGCTCCAGGACGGCCCACGAAGGGCCCAAGACGGCCGCAAATGTGGGCCCCGGGGTTCTCGGGGAGCCCGGGGCCTCACAGAAGGCCGCCAGAAGGCACCAAGGAGGCCCCAAGAGGCTCCAGAACAGACCCGCGGGACGCCCGAAGGTCGCTCCCAGACGCCCAACATGCCCTCCAAGGCGGCTTCAGAAGCCCCCAAGACACCCCAAGCGACCCCCCAATAGGGCCCCAAAGAGAGCCCCAAGGGGCCAAAATAAATTCATTCTCTTTGTAAAACGTATATTTTTTATATCTTGCTTGTTTTCGCTGTCGGTCCGTGCTTGACGACCTCAGAAGCTGCGGCGACCCTATCGTCGCAGCTGCCGCCTCCCCCCGCGACCACAACCCCCCCCCCCTCTCCCTTCCCCCCCCGCAACCACAACCAAACTCGCGGTATCCATGTGATCACCATCGCCACCATCTATATCCTCCCTCTCCTCCTCCTCTTTCTTTGCGTTGTCCTCCACCATGGCCGCGAGTCCTCCACATTCGCGTGCTAATGTATATAGCATCCCTTCCTGTTCGCTCCGAACCCGCATGGCATTACGTTGTGTACCTTATATGCATTCACGATCGCCCCGCCATCATCCTCTCACAGGTATCGTCGCGCTCCTCAGGGTGTCTGGCGTGTTTTTCGCTGGCACTGGCGACGTCAGTCTCGAGCGAGAGCCTAATCCCAGATCAAATTTTGAGTTGTCTCCAGCGGGTGCGTCATGAAAGAGTAAACTGCGAAGGAGTCTCGGGCGCACCCCCCATCTCATCTGCGCGGGCCCATTCGAGGTTAAGAACTCAGGGCGGCCATCGGAAACGCCATAGGATTGAACGCGCGGCGCACTTTACGAATGTGTCTCTGGGGCTTGTTCGGAGAGCCTTGGTCGGGGGAGCTTCCGTAACCGTGGTGGCTCAAACAAGTTTTTCGTTTTTTTGTTTCACGCAGCCTTGACTCATGCGTGAGTGTCGCTCGGGCCCCCTATGCGCGGCACGGGCGGCGACTGGCTGGAGTTGCGTCGCAAGTTGTCGGGTTCAGATCTCGGCGGGGGGTCGAGCAGCAGCGGCCCGTCAGAATTCTTGTCTGGTTGGTCACTGTTCGGGCCCCCGACCGACGATGGCATGGGCGGCCCGCCCGAGCACGCCGTCGACGCCGCCGCCATTGCGGACGCCATAGTCGAGGTCCCGCTCGTGGATGCCATCGTCGAAGCCCCACCCGCTCAAGGCAGGCGCGGCCGTCCCCGTCGGAGAACCGCGAACACTGTGCTCGCAGATGTGATGACACACCACGGCGGCATGTTGGCGCCGTCAGAGTCTGGGGCGCAGCAGCTCGAGGGCCAGGTCGACCCCGTCGACGGCGGACCCGAGGACAGCATCGGCGACGCAGTTCTAGTCAATGCTAACCCGTTCGTGGCTTCAGACACAGAGCCCTTCAGACGCCTGGCGTTAGAGGTTGGCGACGCCATCGCCAACGACATAAGTTTAGACGGCATGTTGGGCCAGGCGCGCATGGAGGTCGGTGAGTATGAATTGAGGGAAAACAGCAATCCGCAAGGGCTTCGCCCCTTGCCGCCGGCCCCCTCTCTCGGAGAATGGGCCGTGGAAGAGCTAAGTCATGAGGCCTTGGCGCCGTCGTGAAGCAGCATCGAAACTCAATGCGAAGCCGATTCGCAATCAGCAAAACCAACTGATCACAAGAGGGTTACCACACCTGGCGATGGGTAGGACGTGTATGGTTTACGGGCTTGGTTACCACACCTTGCGATTAAAGGGCCGAGGGAGTTCTCGCAGTTTGGGTTGCCACGCCTTGCGATGGATGCGCGTGAAGGGTGGCACCGAATTTCAGAAATGTGGCAAATCCTTTGTGTTTTTGGACCCTGACTCCGCGGATCTGCGCAAGGGGTGGCGCCGAATTTCAGAAACGTGGCACGCCCCATGTGTTTTTGGACCCTGACCCCGCGGATCTGCGTGGGGGGTGGCACCGAAATTCAGAAATGTGGCAAATCACATGTGGTTTTTGACCTTGACCTCGCGGATCTGCGCGAGGGGCGGCGCCGAATTTCAGAAATGTGGCAAATCCCATGTGTTTTTGGACCCTGGCCCCGCGGATCTGCGCGAGGGGTGGCACCGAATTTCAGAAATGTTGCAAATCCCATATGTTTTTGGACCCTGACCCCGTGGATCTGCGCGAGGGGTGGCATCGAATTTCAAAAATGTTGCAAAACCCTTTTTGTTTTTGAGCCCTGGCCCCGCGGATCTGCGCGAGGGGTTGCACATAATTTTAGAAATGTGGAAAGTCTGTTGTGCTTTAGGGCCCTGGCCCCGCGGATCTTCGCGAGGGGTGGCACCGAATTTCAGAGACGTGGCAAATCCCTTGTGTTTTTGGACCATGACCCCGCGGATCTGCGCGAGGGGCGGCACCGAATTTCAGCAATGCGGCAAATCCCTCGTGTTTTTCGACCCTGGCCCCGCGGACCCGCGCGAGGGGTGTCGATTTCGAGTCCCCCCCACCACCCGCTGACTTTTTCAGACAGCGAGCCCAGAGGGCGCTAAAAGCCGTGTTTTGCCCCCCCCCCCCCCCCACCCCCCCCCCCCCCCTCGCGCGGTCAATCAATTAGTTACAGCAACCAGCAAAAAGTCAATTAGTTGCAGTAACCAGCAAGAAGCAGAACTGTAACACGGGAAACTACAAGCTACAACTGGCACAGGAAACTGCGAACCTCGCGCCTGCAGCCTGGCGGCCCCGCAAGGGGGCCGGCGGATTATGTCGGCCTCTGCGTCCGCAAACATGTTTGGTATATCTTCGAGCGCGTTTCAAAGTGTAGAAGAGCGAGCGGCTGCCGCTGCTGCGTTGTGCGATCGCCACTCCGTCGCGGGGTTAATGGGGAATGCGCGCGACACTTGCATTGCTGGGGGCGCCGCGGGCTTGGTCTTCACAGAGGCCGTTCGGCCAGATGAAACCCAGTTGCTTGCGAGGGGCGCCGCGGGGTCGAACGACGAGGGGAATATGTGCAGCGACTTGCCCGACGACGCTGACGAGAGGGCGAAACTGGTCAACGCCGAATGGAATTACAGCATGTTGTTTGTGAAGCGGGGCAGCAGCGGCCAACCTTCCTCATGCGTCAGCTTCTCATTCAGTCTCTGCCCCCCGGTTCAAGTGGTTTCGAATACAACTGGAGAGTGTTATTGCGCCGTGCTGCACCGGGCCCGCCTGGCCGACGCAGACCGCGTCGCTCAGAAGTTCGCCCGCCACCAGAGGAACACGACCACGGACGGAGACAGGGCGTTCATCGGAGCTGAGCGTCGCCGCTCATGCGTCTACCCCGCCATGCAATTGCCACATAAGCTACGCTGCGTCCATAGAGCGTCAAATTGCAAGAAGGACCGATTCAGGAAAAAGTGCCCAGAGAAATTGAGTTTCACGCCAACCTCGCCCATGTGATGCGCAGGGCCTACAACGGCAACGCGTTTCGGAGAGAGGTTAAGAAATTCATTGTTGCGCCTGGTCGGTTCGCTTGCCTGGCGGAGGGGGCCTGTTTGCCAGTGCATTTGAAACGTCTGGAGCACCGCCCCGACCTCGCGGCGCCGCCCCGCACCCGCAAGAACGCGCGGAGGCGGAGCGTCATATGGGCTACGATCAACGGCGGCATCGACGGCCCCAGGCTCATTCACGCTGCGAACTCCCCCAACGGATGCAGATCTGAAGAACAAGTTCGGCAATTTGTGCCCCGCGATTTCCTCGCGGCCATATGTCCGCGGGCACCCCGTTCGTTTCCTTGCCGCCAGTGGAATGGGTGCGAAGAGATAGTGGAGTATTTCATTTTCTTGTAGGACTTGGGAGTATTTGCCGACGCATGGGGCAAGCTGATTGCGGTGTATTATCCCTGCGAGAAGAAGGGCGCACAGCCGAGAGTTGACTTAGACGGCAATGGCGCGCTCCAAGCGGTCCTGGATTCGAACCCAGCAGGCACGAGCGTGCCGCATCTCACCGTCGCAGCGCAGGAAGAGTTGAAAAAGCTCGAACAGAAGAGCCACATGGGTACCGTCACGAAGCACTCAGTTATTTTTGGCCCAGATGAAGTCCTATCCACTGCCGTCGTCGTGCTGAGAACAATGAACTTGCACCGCGATTTCATCGGTGGGCTGATCTACTCTTGCGGTGACCATGAGAAGTTGAAGCAGAAAGCGTCAGCATCCCAGGCGTTGAAGGGCAACCGTGGCCGCACCTTCATGTATGAAGTTCGGGGGGCTTACGATGTGGAGTTGGAGACTCGTCTGATTGACAGCGCTTACTTTCTGAGGTCAGACTCCGCTCATTGGGGGAGCATCCAGCTGGGATGCAGGACTCCGAGGTTGTAGTGCACTGCGTTCCGCTTGCTATCTCAGGCCGTCTGCACGACAGTACTTATCAAGTTGGAGAAGACATGGTATCCGAATAATACGTTTGCTGTCATCCGCAGCGATGATGCCATGAAGGCGGCCCTCGACGAGAAGGATTGCTTGCTCGACTCCTGGTCGCAGTTCTGCAGGCGCCACAGGCACGGGGTCATCGCAGACGCGCGGCACGACTTGATGCATGTGGCTAGCTTGCTCCATGAGGGCACAGTGAAGCAGGAGTGGAGCCAAGGCGTCTTGCGATGCATCATCGCCTCACGATCGGTCAACGCGTGGGTTGCCAGCCTTTCCCACGTCAGCGTCGAATGGATCGGCCAAGGGTTCCGCAGGCTGGCGGGGGCCTTTGGACAGCTTCGGACACCCAGCTCAAGCAGCCCTGGAGCCGACCAGCCAGGCCAGCAACAAGCCCGCGCTGCTGGCGCCCCGAGCGCCCCGCGGAGGCGGAAGCTGCGGGCTGCCGACGTCTTCTTCAGTCGTGAGTGCGGGCAGGAAGGCAGCGCGCAGCCCAGCTTCCCGGGGGCGCGGGCGAATGTCCGCAGGCTGGGCGACGGCGACGTCGACGAACTCCAGCGGCGGGCGGACGAGGCCAACGCTGAGGTCAGCGAGGGGAGGGGGCCTTTTCCGATGGGTCGGCGCGAGATGCAGCGGGCCAGGGCCCGCGCCGACGCAGAGGCAGTTGCCGCGATGCACGTCCGCGCTCAGCTCGCCGATGAAAGAGTTCGCCAGCCTGCCCCCCTGCGCCGCGCCCCGGGGGCCCACGGGCGCACCCTCGCTGCCGTCGCTGCGGCTGCCCCGTCGGGCGCGTTGGCCGCCGGGCCGAACGCAGACGCCCTTGCAGTCGTCAAGCGCGCTCTGCGGACCTCTTCGGACTCGGGGCGGCGCGGGGAGAAGGCCCGAACGAGCCCACGAGACTCCAAAACCGCCCCCCCCCCACCCCACACAAGGCGAGGATCCCCACCGAAGTTTTACTCGGGTTGCATTGTTGATTTTATTTTTATTCAGTTTCTTTTTTTGTTCTTTTTGTTTTTCCCCTTTCTTTTATTTAAATTTTTATCTTTTTCTTTTTTTTTTTATTTTCCACTTTTTTTACATTGGAACGTTGGTGCTTGTTGTTGTTCGGTTCGGTCTGCGCTCCGTGGGGGGGTCGGGGCAATCGTGTCATGGCGGGGGCGGCTTGCAGCTCGTTGGAGGTTGCCGAGCAGCAGGTGGTCGACTTCGCCGAGAGGGGCGGCCGCGCGGGCGCTCGGGGGCTGGCCCTGGCAGCGGGCCGCGCGGTGCCGCATGCCGCTGACGCCAGCTTATTCGTTGCCGACCCGAGGACCACGCAGTCCGAGGAAGGCGCCTCGAGTTTCTCGCGCGCCGAGTGGGCCGACGACTCCGTCTACCAGCGGGCGCGGCGACTTGTCGCGCCACGGGGCAGACCCGCCCAGCGCGCGCGTTGCGAGCTCTCTTGTATCGCTTTTGGCATGGGCTGTCCCGCGCCATCTTGCACAAGGACTGCGAGGTGTTCGGCGAGCCGCCTGTCCACAGGAGATGCTGGGAGGCTCGCCGTTGCATCTGCTGCCCTGGGCCGGCGTCGCCGGTAACATTGAAGGCGAACCTCGAGAATGCCACGCGGCGCTTGTACCGCCCTGGGGCTCTTCGGTCCAACGTTGATTCAGGGTTCATCGTGTGCTGTTTCATCGGCTTGGCTGTTCGGCACGATGGACATGGCGGCCCCGCTGCCGAGTGCGACGACGGCGCCCTCTACGCGTTCATGCACGTCGGCTTCCACAGCTGGAGCCCGTTCGAGCCCTTCTACGCCCCCATGCGGACGCCAGGGTGCGTCGTCGACTTGGACGGCGACCAGAAGCTCAGGGAACGCTTGGTTGAGGTGGAGGCGTTGCCTAGGAGTCTTGATGCATGGGCGTTGCGTGAGCGGCAAAGACTGCGCACGCCGTTCCAGCCTGTCATCGATGCACGGGTGGTCCGATACCAATAATATTAGAGTGCTAATAATGAAGACCATTAGAAGGAGAAGACAAACAATAATAAGAAAACTAATGCTCTTAACATGAATACTGCTAATGGAAATAAGAATGGCAATACTAGTAGTAGTAGTAGTAGTAAGTGGTAATAAGTAGTAGTAGTAGTAGTAGTAGTAGTAGTAGGAGCAGCAGCAGTCGTAGTAGTAGTAGTAGTAGTAGTAGTAGCAGCAGTAGTAGTAGTAGTAGTAGTAGTAAGTCGTAGTAGGAGTAGTAGTAGTAGTAGTAGTAGTAGTAGTAGTAGTGGAGTGGTAGTAGTAGTAGTAGTAGTAGTAAGTAATAGTGATGTAGTAGTCGTAGTAGAGGAGTAGGTCGTCGTCGTATAGTAGTAGTAGAGGTCGTAGGTCGTGGTCTGTGGGTCGTGGTCGTAGTAGTAGTAGTAGTAGTAGTAGTAGTAGTAGTAGTAGTAGTAGTAGTAGTAATAAGAGTCGTAGTATTAGTTGTAATAGTAGTAGTAGCAGTAGTAGTAGTAGTAGTAGTAGTAGTAGTAATACTAATAGTAGTGGTAGTGGTTGTAGTAGTAGTAGTAGTAGTAGTAATAATAGTAGTAGTAGTAGTAGTAGCAGTAGTGGTAGCAGTAAGTGGTAAGTAGTAAGTTGTACGTAGTAAGTAGTGAGTAGTAGTAAGTAGTAGTAGTAGAAGTAGTAGTAGTAGTAGTAGTAGTAGTAGTAGTAGTAGTAGCAGTAGTAGTAGTAGTAGTAGAAGTAGTAGTAGTAGTAGTAGTAGTAGTATGTATGTATTGATAACATCAGCAATCCGAGTTTTAATAGTAAGAGTAGTAGTAGTCGTAGAAGTAGTCGTAGTAGTGTAGTAGTAATAGGAGTAGTAGCCGCAGTAGTAGTAGCAGTAGCAGCAGCAGCAGTCGTTGTAGTAGTATTAGTAGCAGCAGCAGTAGCAGCATCATGATGTAGGACGTATATTGCGCTTCTCAACATAAGAAGATCGCAACTTCGATTCAAACTTTCCCTGGCGATAATGAAGATTTTCCTCGCTGCCCCTTTCCCCGACTAACTCTGTCTAGACCCGGGATAATGGTATGCTTTTGTATCCAAGGCATGCGGATAGCTTTTCACCCAGATCCGCTTTTCACGGTCACGGGGACCGATAACGGCTCCTGGGGGACGAAAGAAGCAAAAATCTGAGCCGAGCCAAGCACCTCGACCCTGCCCCCCCTTCCTGTTGGCCGGAACGAGTGCTGGGCCACCCCAGACCCCCCGCCGGCTCCAACTGGAGACAAAAGATTTGATCCATGCCCTGCCCCCCCTGGGGCCCAGAGAGTGTGGATCGAGCGTCGGCCGCAGAGGCGAACGCACAACGCGGTCTGGGCGGCAGGCTGGAGCGCGGCATCGCAGACCGCACCGCGGCACGCGCGCGCAAGAGAGGCGGCCGCCCCCGCCTCCTACGACCTGGGGGCGTGCTCCAGAGGGAGGGTGCAGCCAAGCCTTGAAGGCCGCAGCACACCCTCTGCGACAACTCATGGGAGTCTCCAATACGTGCCATCTTGTGGGCTCTTGCGCATCGACGTCAATCGGCACTAGTCGACGCTAAATCGACGCTAATCGAGGATAGCCGACGCTAATCGACGCTAAATCTGCGCTTGTCATCGATTACCAGACGCCAGTGCACGCCCAGTGCACTCACACAAGGCTCCCACGATCTGCTCGAGACAGCACACCCCCGACGCAAAGTACAGTCAAAATCCGCAGCAAGGATACAAGGCAAGGAGGCAAGACACTTTGGAGTCCCACTCACCACATTTAGAACTCGGTGGACGCCAACATTGGCTCAGGATGGGCCAGCGAAACAGGGATGCAAGGGCGGCCATTACTACATCGCATCATTACTATGGATTTTGACTGTACGATTCCATGTGCCACGTGCCCTGAATCTGGGCCGAAACGTGCAGCGTGGCCCAGGCTTCCAGGGAGCTCTGAGGCCTGTGCCCACGGCTGCGCCCGACTGGCCAAACACCCCCAGGGCGCAGAACGAGATCCCCACAGAAGGTTCCGCTTGGCTCGGGGGAAGGAATTGACGCACACCTGGCAGCAAGGCTTAGCAATATGAATGTCGCTTGACAAATCCCGCCATGGAGACAGGATTTCCTCTCGAAGCTCCACCGCGAAATAGGGGCGCTGATGCTGCTACATGTCTCCCTTTCGCCGCACGCCTGTCCGCATCCCTGGTGCGTACATGTGAGCGCACTTGAACGTTACATCACGTGCACAATGGCACATGCAATAATATGCACGCAGCTGCTTAGCAATACGTACCCCCAGGTGTCATGCGTGAATGTGTATATGTGTCTGGGTAGACGCCAGCATCATGGACGTCGCCTGGCGTCGTACGCCAGTCATGCTTGCGCCACCAAAGGGCAACGATGGGAGGGCGACTTCTTGATCTGGGTGCTCTATGACGACATGTCAAAGCTTCCCGCTTGCGTGCGCTGATCTCTTAACGATCCCCAGGCGGCCTATGAACGCTTTGGCCGCCTTCGTGGACGACATCAGCGGCTGCCTGTCCAGCACCATCACGCGCCCGCTCTGCCCCAGCACGCACGCGCTGGTCCGCACGGGCGTAGACATGAGGAACTTGGCGCGGGCAACTGAAGCAGCACGAGCGCGATGGCCCTATCCAGCCCGCCCGTCAGCCCAGCTACAACACCGAAGAGCCTGAGGCTTTGCAATCGTATCATCCCTCCTGGTGAGCCAGACTTAGTTTTCGAAAAGGCTCGTGTTGGCTCTTCTCTGACCCCCATGGAGCAGCACCCAGCGTTGAGCAAACCATCGCGGAACTGCATGCTTGAATACCCCACTCCCAACGATGCCCAATTGAGGTATACCAGAATGAAGTCGACTTCGTCACCTCCACTCATGCTGCGAAAGACATGCCATACAGCTGGCTCCTCCGACTCCGAATAGATCAAACATCGCATCCCCTGTAGACCAGCGAACCAGGTGCACCATGCATGTTGCATGTTTCGTGTCTAAACCTGGTGCGAGGGCGTGGCACATGACCAGCGACTATGTCCAGATCCCCTGTGTGGTAATGACCCGCTCTCAGAACAAAATGCCTCCCCAACCTGGAGGGCTATGACGTGGTAGATCCCACACGAGAATGTTAGTTCACATGGTTGAAGGCATGGCACATAAACTCAACACTTACGCTTACGACTCTCTTTCTACACCATCGAGCGCCTCGCGTCCCAACGTCTACCCCGACTCCGCCCGCAAAATCCGCCGACCCTACCGGCGTGTGCGAGAGGCTGTTTCGTTTGACTCGTCGTCGTCGTCGTGGTAGTCATTATCGCCGTCGTCGTCGTCGTCGCCGCCGTCCTCGTCGCCGTCGCTGCTACCCCCTCTTCCCTGGGCCCTCCTCCTTAAGGCGCCAGCCAAAGCAAAACAGCCAAAGCGAAATTGAACAACGTCGTAGTTGAGTCGAAAGTCAGCCCCTTCCATTTGATCCCTTCCCCGCAAAGAGGGGGGGGTCCTGGAGAGGGGTAGCGGGGGGGGTCTGGGGGGTGGTCCCGAATCAGAATGCTACCCCCCCGGCAGGTCCCAGGGCCCAAGAGGCCCCCCAGACTCCCGACGAGGCCACCAGGCGCCCCAAAGGAACCGCCAGGAAGCCCCAGGAGGCTCTCAAAAGGCTCCCAAGACACCCCACAAATTTCCCCACTGAGGCCTCCGAGAGCGCTTCAAAGAGACGTCAAGAAGCATCCGGGCCCTCCACCCTAAAGCGCGTCAGCCAAAACAAAACAGCCAAAGCGAAATTGAGCAAAGTCGCAGGTAAGTCGAAGAGAAGCCCCCTCCCTAGAATCCCTTTCCCGCTGGGAGGGAGGGTCCCTGAAGGGGTAGAGCTGCGGGAGTCCCGGGAGGGGTCGAGGGTCAGAATACCACCACCACCGGGAGGTCGCTGGGCCCGAGAGGCCCCCCAGAGGCCCCCACGACTCCCCCAGGCGCCCCCAAGGAACAGCCAGGAAACCCCAGGAGGCTCCCAAAACGCTCCCTTGACACTCCTCTTGGCCACTTTTGGGAGCGTCTGATCCCGACCTTCGTGAATGCCTCTTCCATCGTGGGGGTAATCTTCCAAGGTTGGCGGCACCGGCCGCAGGGCCTTAGCAATCCTTGTCAAAGAATGTCATGCGGGCCGCCGCCTCTGGCCCAGGCATTTCCCATTACCGTGTCATACGCGAAACCCGATCCAATGTCTACTTCTCCCTGTAAGTCATGCTATACTGTGCACGCGCGCTGGTCTAACAGAGGAGACGCGAGGTACTCCATGTGAAACATTATTGTGAGAGGGGGCACGTGCGTTCACGTCTACGAGGGCGCGCCGCTGGATGACCCCAATGGGGGGGGGGTTGGGACCCCCCCCCTTTCCCCGATCCGTCGTCGGGGACCCCTCCCCCCTCCCCCCCTTTCCCGATCCGTCGTCGGGGAAACCTCCCCTCCACCCCTTTCCTGGTCCGTCGTCGGGGACCCCCCCCCTCCCCCCTTTCAAAAGGGGGGTTCCGACCCCGCCCCCCCCTCCCCCCCTTTTGGCCGCCAAATTCGAACCCCCCCCTCCCCCTATTTCGCCACGGCGCCCCCGGTCTCCGGAACCCGACCCCTACCACCCCGAACACTAATCCTCACCCGTGCCCTAACCCCCAACCCCAACCCCAAACCCTAGCTCCAAACAGCAGTACTCACTACTCACACGCACTACTCAGTACCCACAATTCACTATTCGCTACTCGCTACTCACTTCTCACTACTCACTACTCACGACTCATTACTCACTACCCACGACTCACTAACCTCGACGCCCTACTCACTACTCCCTACTCCCTGCCCATTACTCACTAGCCACTACAAACTACTCACTACTCACTACCCACTACCCACTACTCATTACTAACTAAAAACAAGTCACTACCCACAACTCGTTCTTCACATATCACTACTCACTACCCACTAACTACTATGCGCTACTCACTACTCACACTTCACTACTCACTATTCACTGCCCACAACTCACTACTCACTATCTACTACTCGATACTCGCTACTCCCTACTCCCTATATCGTACTCACTACTCACTATTCGCTACTCCCTACGCCGCACTCGCTACCCATTACGCACCATTCACTACCCACTACTCACTACTCACTACGCTCCCACTACTCCCGGCTCACTATTTCCTACTGCCTACTCACAACTCCCAACTCACTACTCATTACTCACTACCCAGTACTCAATACTCACTACTCACTAAACACTAGTCACTGCCCACTACTCACAACTCACGAAGCAATACTCACTACCCACTAGCCACCGTCCACTACTTACGACTGAGAACTCACAATTCACTACTCACTACGCATTGCCCAGAACTCACTACTCACACTCCGCTAACCGCGACCTAATAAGACATATTCACTATCCACTACGCACTACTCGCTACTCACTACTCACTACTCCCTAACCCCTACTCACTAGTCACTAGTCGCAAGTCGCTACTCACTACACACTACTCACCACTCACGACTCACTACTCACTAATTTCTACTCGCTACTCCCTGCTCACTACCGACGGCTCAATACCCACTTCTCGCTGCTCACTACTCACTACTCACTACTCCCTACTCCCTACTCATGACTCAAAACTCACTACTCACTACTCATTACTCACTACTCGCTACTCCCCACTCGCTACGCCACACACTCCTCACTCCTCACTACTCACTACCCACAATTCCTTACTCACTACTTCCTTCCCGCTACTCAGTACCCACTACGCACTACTCACTACTCACAAGTCTCTACGCGCTACTCACTATTACCACTACTCATTACCCACTACTCACTACTCACCACTCACGACTCACTGCGCACTACTCACTATCAAATACCCACTATTCACCAATCGTTACTCAAAACACTCTACTCTCTTCTCACTACCCGAGAGGCCCCCTCCCCAGCTCTCTGTTCGGCGCAAAGGGGGGAGGGGGGGGGGTTCGACCCCCCCCCTTTCCAGCGCGAAGGGGGGGAGGGGGGGGGGGTCCGGACCGCATGTGGGCCGAATCCCAACCAACTGGGCCCAATCCCACCCAACTGGGACCAATCCCAACCAGTGCGACAAGCAAACTGGGCCCAATCCCAAGCCGCTTGGGATAGCCTCACAATAAGACTGTAAGTGTAGAAAAGCCCAAGACGACTGTGAAGACCAAGTGACACCTCTTATGTCAACGCAGAGGTTCTGGAAGCCAACATACGTGCTAGAGTTGGAATTGGTCTCAGTTTTGGTCCGCGCACGAGCGCTATGTTAAGATGAGCAAGAGGGCGCCGAAGCGTAAGCAAAACCGCACCGAATGGCATCGATTCTAAAATATGCAAAATGATCCTCCGATTATGAGCAGTAGTCGTAATAGTAGTGGTAGTAGTAGTAGTAGTCGTCGTCGTCGTCGTAGTCGTAGTCGTAGTCGTAGTCGTAGTCGTAGTCGTAGTCGTAGTCGTAGTAGTCGTAGTCGTAGTCGTAGTCGTAGTAGTAGTCTGTAGTTTGGTAACTCCGGAGTAGGAGTAGAGTAGTAGGGTAATAGTTAGCTAGTAGTAGTCTTGTATTAGTAGTAAAGCAGCAGTAGTAAGTATAGTACACTAGTAGTACGTAGTGTGGTTAGTACATCGTAGTAGTAGTAGTAGTAAGTAGTAATAGGCTACGAGGGGAACATGGTGGTGGGTAGGAGGAGGAGGAGGAGTAGTAGGATTAGTAGTAATAGTAGTAAGTATCTAGTAGTAGAAAAAGTAGCAAGTAGATACTATATAGGAGTCCCGTCGAAATCGTGTCCTCTGTCGTTGTCGTACTCGGATTAGAACGGTAGTAGTAATTAGGGCAAGTGATCGGTAGTAGTACATGAGTACCCGAGATCAGCCCGTAGTAGTAGTAGTAGTATTAGTAGTAAGTGGTAACAAGCTATCGTAGTAGTAGTTACCCCGTCTGGATTTGATTCGGGGCAGTACTCTTCATGGGACACTGCGCCGACATATCCGGGGTAAGTCCCCGAAATTATCGCTCCGCCTGTAGTCGGAGTCGTAGTCGTAAGGTAGGCGTATGCGAGTAGTATAGTAGCAGTAGTAGTAGTAGTAGTAGTGGTAATGTAGTAGTGGTAGTCTAGTTGTAGTAGGAGTAGTAGTAGTAGTATAATTAAAGTAGTAGTAGTGGAAGTAGTAGTAGTAGTAGTAGTAGTAGTAATAGTAAGTAGGGGGGGCAACTTCGGGTTTCGGGATGTCCCGAAAAGCGTGAACAGTAGTAGCTCAACGTGACATGTGTTTTAAGAGCCCTGAACAGTATTATAGTAGTAATGTATAAAAAAAAAAAAAAAAAAGTCGTATGTATATCCGTCGTATTCGTAGTAGTAAGTAGTAGTTTAGTAGAGTAGTAGTAGTAGTAGTAGTAGTAGTAGTAGTAGTAGTAGTAGTAGTAGTAGTAGTAGTAGTAGTAGTAGTAGTAGTAGTAGTAGTGATAGTAGTAGTAGTAGTAGTAGTAGTAGTAGTAGTAGTAGTAGTAGTAGTAGTAGTAGTAGTAGTAGTAGTAGTAGCAGCAGCAGTAGTAGTAGTAGCAGTAGTAGTAGTAGTAGTAGTAGTAGGTGGTGGTGGTGGTGGTGGTAGTAGTAGTAGTAGGTGGTGGTAGTAGTAGCAGTAGCAACCGTAGTTGTAGTCGTAGTCGTAGTCGTGGTCGTGGTCGTAGTCGCAGTAGTAGTGGTAGTAATGGCATGCAAAAATGCAATCCGCGAGCGGGCGGGCCCCTCGGCATGTGAGATGGCGCAGGCCTGTAGGCCAACCAACAAACCAACCAACCAGCAAGGCAGGCAACCAACCAGCCAACCAGCCAGCGAGCCAACCAAGCAGCCAACCAGCCAAAGAACCAGCCAGCCAGCCAACCAGGCCACCAACCAACTGCAAACCAGCCACGAGGGGGCGGAGCGTGCCGAGAGGCATCTCTGAATAAAGCTGGCGGTGGCGGCACGCAAAGATGCAATCCGAGAGCGGTTTTTTTTTCGCCACGGCGGCGAGCGGTTGTCCCCGCGGGCAGCTGAGGAATTCCGAAGAATCCGAGGGAACCCTGAGGAATTCCGAAGAATCCGAAGGAATCCTAAGGAAATCCGAAGAATCCGAATGAATCCTGAGGAATTCCGAAGAACCCGAAGGAATCCTGAGGAATTCCGAAGATCCCATCCATGGTTGTAATTGGTCTCACTTCTGGTTGGAATTGGTCCCATTTCTGGTTGCAATTCGCTCCGAACGGTTGGAATTGGGACTAGTCGGTTGTAATTCGTTCCATTTCGGGTCCGGACCCCCCGCCTTCAAGGGAGGGGGGGGGGTTCGGACCCCCCCCCCTTAATGGGTGGATGGGGGGGGGGTCCAAAATCTCACCCCCCCCCTTTGAAGGGGGAGGGGGGGGATTCTGCGAGCACCCCCCCCCTTTGTGTGTTCGTCATTCGTCGCCCCAATCACCATCACCCTCCTCGTCCTCATCATCGCCAGGATCATCACCATTAGGTCGCCATCGCGAGAAGCAACATCGCCATCATCGTCACCTATACGGACATGGTGGGCGGATATTGCTTAGAACGCTTCCTTTTCCAGCCCGTTTTCCCCTTCGGGGAGGGTATCTTCACTGCTCCGTGTTCGTAGTCACCTCCTCCCCCAAGCAAAAAACCATGGGCCCACCACCCACCATCCCTGTCAAAAACAATACAAAACGCACGCGTCGGCAAAACCTGGATCCTGGATCATGAGCGGCCGTTCCGTGTCCACTTGGCATGGGCTATTGACAGGGATGGCGGGGGTGATCACATTTGTTCGCTGCGCCTTGCCCCACTATCCCTGTCAAAGACAAATCCAAACTCATTGACACACCATACGCCGTGCAGAGCGCCCCTCCTCCACTTTGCATTGGTTTGACAGGGATGGTTGGGGGGTCGAAACCTCCTGTGTCCACCTAGGTGCCCGAGGTCACACGAGAACCCACCCCCACGAGGCACTCGCGAAAGGGCCCAAACCTTTCCACCCGACCACTGCCAGGAGGAGGCGCTGACAAGGAAAGGCACGCCCACTGTGCAGGTTTGGAAGTGCCCGTGAGACAACTCTTGGGTACACTCGCCAATTTCCAAGGGTTTGTCACAGGCGGGGAGCCGCCCTCTCCTTTCACGGTCTCTGGTATGACGCAGGAACAGCATGTCGACCCCCTGCAACCTTTCCACCCGACCAGTGCAGGGAGGAGACTCTGAGGCAGGGGCGTAGAAGAAGGCGAGGCCGATGCTGTTCGTGAGCACGAACCACATCGTGCTGAGGCCAGACACCTCGGGGGCGTTTCCGCAGATTCTGGCTTCGGCGACCACTGCTCTGGGCACGGCGACCCCCTCCTCCTTCTCCTGTTGCTGCTGGCGCATCCATCGGCCTCCTCCTCCTCCTCCTCCTCCTCCTCCTCCTCATCTTTCGCCTCCGCATCCTCATCGTCATCATCCTCATAGGCCCCCTCCTCATCCTCCTCCGCCTCCGCCTCCTCCTGCTCCTCGTCCTCCTCCTCCTTATCGGCCCCCTCCTCCTGCTCATCATCATTATGAAGGGGCTGAACCGAACGGTCATTCACTGTCCCTGGGTGCGTGGCTGAAGTGGGATTCCGCGATGCGGATTATTGTTGTTGTTGTTGTTCTTGTTGTTGTTGGTGTTGTTGTTGTTGTTGTTGTTGTTAGTGTTGTTGTTGTTGTTGGTGGTGGTGTTGTTGTTGTTGTTGTTGGTGTTGTTGTTGTTGTTCTTGTTGTAATTGTTGTTGTTGTTGTTGTTGTTGTTGTTGTTGTTGTTGTTGTTGTTGTGTTGTTCGTTGTTTGTTGTTTGTTCTTTGTTGTCGTCGTCCCACCCGCGACCCACCCGCGACCCACCCCGCGACCCACCCGCGACCCACCCGCGACCCACCCCGCGACCCACCCGCGACCCACCCCGCGACCCACCCCGCGACCACCCGCGACCCACACCCGACCCACCCTCGACCCACCCGCGACCCACCCGCGCGACCCACCCCGCGACCCACCCGCGACCCACACCCACCCGCGACCCACCCGCGACCCACCCCGCGACCCACGCCCGCGACCCACCCGCGACCCACCGCGACCCACCCGCGACCCACCCGCGACCCACCCCGCGACCCACCTAAAATTTTCGGCGCCTGCGGCGGGCTTCTTTTGCATTCGTTCCAAGTGGAGAACCTGCGACCCACCCGCGACCCAAATCACGTTCAGTGTACAACTCAAAATGTTCGGCGCCTGCGGCGGGCTGCTTCTGAATTCCTTCCAGGTGGAGGTGGAGAGCCCGCAACCCACCCGCGACCCAAATTACGTTCACTGAACAAGTCAAAACTTCGGCGCCTGCGGCGGGTTTCTTTTGCATTCGTTCCAGGTGGTGAACATGCGACCCAAACCGCGTTCAGTGTACAAATCCAAATGTTCGGCGCCTGCGGCGGGCTGTTTTTGAATTCCTTCCAGGTGGAGGTGGAGAGCCCGCGACCCACCCGCGACCCAAACTACGTTCACTGAACTTTCACTGAACGAGCCTAACAACGTTCACTGAACGGCTCGACGCCCGCGTCGCCCGCGCCCGCCCCCTCACGCTTATCCGCAATTGCGGGGTGCTACGTATGATTATCCCCTTCCCCCTCTTCCTCCACTTCCTCCTCTTCCTCCTCTTCTTCCTCCTCCTCCTCTTCCTCCTCCTCCTCCTCCTCGTCCTCCCCTTTCCTCCTCCTCGGCCTCCTCCTCCTCCTCCTCCTCCTCCTCCTCCGCCTCCTCCTCCTCGCACCGGGCGCACGCATGCGCGACCTGTTCTGCCCTTGCAGAGAAAGAAAGAGGAGTGCGGACGTTGATGCATGCGTTCGCTTTGCTTGGGATAGCATGCGAATCGAAAAAAACACCATGTTTCGTCGCATGGAAAGGCATTTGCGCCCGCCGGTTGGAACAAAGATTTGGAAGCCATGGGCCGCGCAACCGGATGGGTGACTCATTCCGCGGAACATCGCCGTGATCATCTCTTGTGTTTAAAAGTTCGGTGGGGCAAATCGGGGCGCGGAGCTGTGTCGAAGTAGCGCTCGACCCACGAAACGCAATGTTTTCTAGCGTTGGCAACGAAGACGGGCTAATCACGAAATGTCCCCTGGAACGGCTTGCCTCCCAGAGGCCTCCAAAAGGGGCCGAACGGTGCCACACCAGCGCGTCATGAAATCCATCATCTAGACAAAAGTCCTGCGATGATACGCGACCCAATGCACATGCGGAGGGCCAACCTTCCATGGACCAGTGCTGGATTAGGACGCCATGGCGCACGTCCTTGGCGCACCATGCGCACCAGCGTGTTATGATATCGGTGGGCCACATCAGCGCGTCAGGACAACCATCATCACGAGGATAATCCTGCGACAACACATTCGTGGGTGCACATGCGGACGGCCAGTGTCCCATGTGTACCCATCGCTCTGCCACACCAGCGCGTCATTGCATTCATGATCATGATAATGCCCCTGGTACGACGACACACGCATAACGTGCAATCGTTGAGTCTGGGGCGCACAAGTCGCCAACGTGCGTTGATACCTCTCGCTTTGGGCAGAGGCCAAAGGGGTCGCGCGCTTGGTGGGGGAAGACGGCGCTTGCAGTTCAGGCGAAGTGCAGCTCGAACCACGAAACGCAATGTTTTGTCGGTGCGGCACCGAAAAAGAGATGTCCACGAATGTTCATGTCAAACGGGCTCGTAAAGGAGCCGAACGGTCTTACACAATCCTTGGAACGGGTGCTAAATGAAGACCCCATGGCGTATACGATCGGCAGCCCAGTGTGTCATGACAAGGCATCATGGCACCCATCATCATGACGATGGCCCTGCGATTGTACACGAACGAATACACATGCGGAAAGCAAGCCTGCCATGACACAGACGTGCCACACCAACGTGTCACGACACTCATCATTATGATGATAGGGGTGATGATGATGATGATGATGGTCCTGCGACGAAACATGACTGGAGTCACGTGCGGAAGGCCAGCATTCCGTATGATATGTAAGATCGCCCTGCCACACTGCCACACCAGCGTGTCAGGACGTTCATCATCAAGACGACGTCTTGCTTCGACGACACACGCAAAACATACAATGGAAACGTGTGGGGCGCATAAGTCGGCAGCGTCCGTTGCAAAAAGCCATGCGGGTCGCGCATGCGTGTGCCCAGAGTCCCCTTCCTCCTGAAGCAGGCCAAGTGCAAGACTGGGCGGCTTGGCCGTTGTTAACAAGCCCACAATGGTGGCTTCGTGGCATGTCCAAAGGATTATGATTGTGAGGCTTTCGCGTAGAAATCCTTTGTGGCGCTTTCCAAAGGATTCCTGCTGTGACGCTTGCCAATCGAATCCCTTTTGCGGTGCTTTCCAGAGGATTCCTGCTGTGAGGCTTTCCAATAGAATCGTTTTGTGGCGCTTGCAAAAGGATTCCTGATGTGAGGCTTTCCAATGGAATCCATTTGTGGTGCGTTCAAGAGGACCCCTGCCGTGAGGCTTCCCAATCATCCTTTTGTTGCGCTTTCCAAATGATTCCTTCTGTGAGGCTTTCCAATACAATCCCCTCGTGGTGCTTTCCACCGGATTCCTGCTGTGAGGCTTTCCAATATAATCCCTTTGTGGCGGTTTCCACAAGATTCCGATTGTGATGCTTCCCCATGGAATCCGTTTGTGGCGCTTTCCAGAGGATTCTTGCTGTGAGGCGTGCCAGTACAATCCCCTCGTTATGCTTTCCACCGGATTCCTGCTGTGAGGCCTTCCAATACAATTCCTGTGTGACTTCGTGGTGCTTCCCGGAGGATTCCTGCTGTGAGTCTTTCCAATAAAATCCCTTTGTGGCGCTTTCCAGAGGATTCCTGCTGTGAGGCTTTCCAATCGAATCCCTTTGTGGCGCTTTCCAAAAGATTCCGATTGTGAGGTTTTCCGATGGAATCCCTTTGTGGCGCTTTCCAAAGGATTATGATTGTGATGCTTTCCAATAGAATCCCTTTGTGGTGCTTCCCAAAGGATTATGATTGTGAGGCTCTCCAATGGAATCCGTTTGTGGCGCTTTCCACAGGATTCCTGTTGTGAGGCTTTCCAATAGAATCCCTTTGTGGTGGTTCCCAAAACGATTCCGACTCTGATGCTTTCCAATGGAATCATTGTGTGGCGCTTTCCAAAGGATTCCGACCGTGATGCTTAACAGTAGGATTTCCAAAACAATCCCTTTGTGGCGCTTTCCAGAAGGATTCCGACTGTGAGGCTTTCCAGTAGACTCTCTTTGTTGCGTTTTCCAAAGGATTCCGATTGTGAGGCTTTCCAACAGAATCCCTTTGTGGCGCTTTCCATAGGATTCCGAGTGTGAGGCTTTCCAATAGAATCCCTCTGTGGCGCTTTCCAGAGGATTCCTGTTGTGAGGCTTTCCAAAAAAAATCTTGGTGGCGCTTTCCAAGGGATTCCTGTTGTGAGGCTCCCTCGTTGTGTTTTCCACAAAATTCCGATTGTGATGCTTTCCAATGGAATCTGCTTGTGGCGCTTTCCAAAGGATTCCGATTGTGATGTTTTCCAATGAAATCTGTTTGTGGCGCTTTCCAAAGGATTCCTGTTGTGGGGCTTTCCAATAGACTCCCTTCGTTGTGCTGTCCAGAGGATTCCGATTGTGATGCTTTCCAATGGATTCCCTGTGTGGCGTTTCCCGAAGGAATTCGATTGTGAGGCTTTCCAGAAAACAAACACACAAAAAAACAAAAAACAACAAACAAACAAACAAAAACTGTCAGATAGAATTCCGTGGTCGACCGCCAGATTATATTCGAAAATGTTATTTATTTTTTTGTTGTGTGGAGGTCTTTATGTTTTTTGTTCTCTGATCCGTGTTCGTTTCGTTCGGCCTCCACAGAAGGATGCCGATTGAAAACGCGCAAACCGCCCAGGCCTGCATCAGGTCTGGCGCCCCTCCTCCTCCTCCTCCTCCTCCTCCTCCCCTCTCATTTTCCCCCACCCTCCTCCCCTCTGTCCTGTTCCTTCCCCTCCTCCGCCTCCGCGCCACGCCTGGGCTGGCAGGCACCCGAGCCCGTCGCGCCCCCGTAGCCGCCCGCCTCGACGGAGGGAACGAAAGGAGCCCTCCTGGGGCCCTCTCGGACCCTTCTGGTAGCCCTCGTCGAGCTCTCCCGGGGCCCTCGCAAGGCCCTCGGTGGTCGTCAGGACCCCCAAAGGCTGGAAGAGGCATTGGGCCCCAAGAAGGCCCTTTTTCGTGGCAGGTGGGAGGCCCAGAAGAGGCAC